TTTACAATGTCTAAAAATAGCAATCCCGGCCCCAACCCCATATGTCATATTAATAGCATAACACATGTTTTGTCTTACTCGCAAAGAGCGATGCTCATGCAAGCCTACTAAACACGAGCAATATGAAGGTAGAACCAATAATCTCATTTTTTAAGTTTCATAACAAGTGTCAAAAACGTAATAGAACTCAATTGTAAACCTGAGCTCACTTTCTTGATCTTTCTTGCTATAAGATCTATCTGGACTATCAGCAATTGGGTTTTAGAGGTCCCTTATTATGTTAAAACCCATTCCCTCATTAAATTGTAAGTAGTTATTGTAAGAAAAATAACAATATCACAGTTTACATTTATAATAATAACACATACATAATTTGAACATGGTAAATGCATGCAGTCCCAGTCTATGGGCGCGCCATAGAGAATGGCATAAGACGGAGAGCGCATGCGTGCCGACGCGACGACGCCGCGAATAGCGCGTGCCGTCGTGTTTATTTACGTTCCCCTAGTTTTTTTTTTCAATCTGTGAACTGGTGCGCTCGCAGCGACATGTTTAACCACAAAAAACAATTCGTAAAACTCAATCTGGATACAATCTGCCAATAACTACTAAGATACCCATATATGTATTTGTAATAATATGTAACTAACGAAAATTTAGGAACTGCATTAACTATCAAACCCCGCTTATCCCTTTATTAGATTTAGATAGGTCATTGTTTGTAAATTACAATACGTTAATAACAGTTAATTCTACCTCTATTATTATTTAATACTTTTCCCAACCACTAACCGCTAACGTTAGCGCAAATCTAAAATCTAATAGGCACAATTTTTTTTTTAAGTTTGTAAGCTAGCGCTTGACCATGATCCCACCGACTGAGAGTGAAGATTTGGTGGAAAAATGGTACGCGCTACCCTAATAAATACTCATTCACTCTTTTCTTGAAGGCTTAATTAAATTACCACTTCTTATTGACTATCCATTTATGGAGGTCAGTGATCGGCACCAATGAATCTTATTCATCCATCCGGTCTTTCGATTGTCAACTAGTAAAACCAAATTACCGTAGAAATCGAATACAAACGTCGCATCTAAAATGGAGAGTGAAGTGAAAACATGAATATAAATGAACAAAGTACGGGACAGTAAAGAATGTCCAAACCGGAGGTAATATTACTAATATTTATTGCTACGTAAAGTTAAAAATCTAACTACCTAATTCTTCAACCCTATATTTACAATTAACACTTAAAATGATAAATACACTTTTATGGGCGGCACAGCCATGTTATGTTTAATAAAATATAGTCTTCATTACCTCTTATGTTTTCTTCCAATTTGCACAGAATACCTTACCAATATGGCCGTCGTCTCGTCGAGCTAATGCAACACCCTTATTTTTGACATCCGACTACTATTCGATTATTAACATAACAAGCACAATTACGACATTTTAAAACCATGACATAAATATTTTAAATAATATTTTGGATCACCATTACAAAGTTATATCGTTATTTCAAACTATGACCAATGGCATTGATTTATAGCACAGACTAAATAACATTCAAGAATACAGAGTACATCAAAATAGTTAAAAAGCTAACACTTTAGTATTGACTGTAATAATCTGTGATGATAAAAGACCTTATTCCGTTATTTTAAACTAGACGAAGTACAAGAGGTGTCGCGTCCTCGCACACGGCACGTTAAATCATTTCCTTTAGGAAATGAGTAGTAAATAATGATAGTTATCGAGTATGGGGTTGTAGCCGCGCCCACGGCCTGCTTTATTACTACCCGCACCACAGGGTCAATGAACGCCGCGCCTCTGAAGGGTATCCTAATAGATACATTCTATTTATGTAATAACATTACTTTTTTAAAATATTTTTTTATTTCCTTGAACTAATTTAAAATTCATCAGAAGATTGGACGAATTTGCTAAAAATATAACCTCTTTGTTATTCTAACCTATTTGTTCGTAAAACTTCAAAAAGACGCAACAGTGACATATGTCATCCAAGTTGATGTTTTGGTGTTTTATTGAAGCAAATGTAAAATCTTCAATGTGATGTGATTGTTAATCGACTTTTATCGTTTCTTGTACATTTTAATTCAATTCAAAGTTTCCTGTTTTAGAAGAAAGTTTTTTTGAGGTTATATACATCGACCATTTGCTACGGACAATTTCATTTGATAATATTCCTGTTACATTTATCGTATTCTTAGTATAGTGCTTTTCAAGATACCATTATTAAATAATGGCGGAGGAAACGGTTGGCGATGTAAAAGATTTAGAAGCGATTGACATATTTCTTTTCTCTAATGGCGACCACAATACTCCGCCAAGGAAATATCATCTGAATACAGATACATTTGTGATGTGGGACGATACCCTGAAAAGCTTAGGGCGTTCACATTTCGGTATTGAGTAAGTACTTGGGATTATTTATTGAGAAGTGTAGTAATCCTTCCAGATGCATAATCATTTTAAAAACCACGAGAATCGTTTGGTGCTTAAATTGGTAATACTTTAACAATTGACAGTCAAAAGGAGTTTCTGTGGTGGGAAATATATTCCTTCTGCCTGTCAGATTATATTCTCTATATCTGTGAATAAATCGCCTCTGACTTATAAAGGGTAAATACATTACGACCCCAAAAAAAAATTATAACAGTGTAAATGAAACCATTTCCTATTGTTTAAAGTAAATTTTATGGAAATACAGCAAAATTAGCTAGTGAAAAATATTACCTTTAAATTGTACATACATAGGATAAAAAGAAGTACTGGTGATATATAACTTTATTGAAACAAACCCACAGAAAAAGACAAAAATGAACTAAGAAATATTAAACCAATAACTAGTTACATATTTACGAAGTATTTGTATGTTAACAGATGATGAATAACGAGAAATATCACAGCTATGTAGCAGTTATTTTTATTGTTTGCAGTGATACAGTTATAGATATATACACTATTACTGGACATAAAATTGACGACCCTTCTCAACTGATCCATCAAGCAGCATACGTCGCTGTCAAACCTCCCACGGCGTTCATACAAACTGGATATGAAAACTATCTGATCAGGGCAACTAGGTGAGTTTGGAATGCACAGCTAATTAAGTTAATAAGTTTAGATACTTGAACTTTAAAACTCTAAGTCTTAATCTGAGTTAGTTAGTAGTAGTGGTTAATCTAAGTAAGAACACTTAAAGGCCTTAGACATTTAATGTATTTTTTCTGCACAGGTCGTGGGAAAAAAGGTTATTGAAAATATCAAATAGTATGGACTCATCCACAAAAGGTCCTCGTTACCATTATATATAGTTACACAGAAAAATATCTTACTCAAATTAAAAGCCTACTTTAGTATATAGTACATAATTAGTTGAAAATAGTTATTTTCAGGTAACACTGAAAGTGTTTTATTAAAATCACAATTCAATAAAGAAATTTATGACAATGAAAAGAAGAATGAAATCGTATGTATATAGTAGTTCATTGTTGTCCATAGATTTTGGTCGATAGTTGAATAATTGTTCAAATATTACAGTCAAACCCAGCAGTGGTAGAAAAACTTAAACGAAGTCTAGTAAGGCCTTATATAGTTGATTTAAAAGCACCTCAAGGTCGTGAAAAAATCAGTAAAATCCCTGAACTGAAACATATCCAAAGAAAGAAAACTCCGCAAATCGCACTTCGACAGAGAAGTAGCCCTTTTAAAGTAACATCTGCATCAAAAAAAGTGCTAATAAAGACAAAGGGGGAAATCCATAAGAAATTACCTGATTTAAAAAAATTGGTCTTAGCAACTCCTAAAGAGAAAAAAATAAATAACACCATTAAAGGAAATCAAGACAACCAAATTTTTTCTTCAAATAATATTATCAATGTTGTTGATAATGTAAATGTCACAGAAAGTGCCAATAGCTCTGGTGAAAAAATAAGTTCAGTGAAAATAAACCATCAAAATGCAGACGATAAAAAGAAAAACGTGGAGAAAATAGTAATATCGAATATTTACAAAAATCCAGAAAAGGAATATTTGTCAATGACAGGAATAAAATATGATGAAGCACCAAATGTTACAGACGAAACCAAAAGCCTATCTTACGCTGATACGAAATGTATTAAAACTTATTGTACTTGTTGTAATAATAAATCAAGTAAAAAATCTATAACTCATGGAGAAAACAAAACTAATACGGAAACATCTGATAACGATACAATATCTGAAGTCCCTGTTGAAATTCAAACGTGCGTAAGTTGCTGCGAAACACGAAAACAATTAAATAATTTCGTTGCCATTTTAAATAACGACAAAGTGCTAAAGTTACATTTAAATTTAGAAATTAAAGACTGTAACATGTCGCTAATGTCTGATCAATTCAACGCTAAAACAACACACGAAACACAAGCTTGTATTTCTATAATTAAAACTGAAAAAGAAACGCAAGTAAATTTTTATGATCAGTTAAATGAAGAGATTTACGATGATGTAAATAAAACAGAATATATTCTTCAACATTCTGATGACGAACTAAAAGATATAATCAAAGATGACAACAAAATAGTGATTATTAATTGTTCTTGTTGCGATTGCTTAAAGCTACATCGTCTGCAACAATTAAATGTTAAATATAAAAATACCTATAGTGAAGACATTTTGTATGAATTAGCTAAAGCAATAGAAGCAAATAGGTAAGAGAATTCTTATTCTAACACAAATAATTAACCAGAACATCAATACTTAATGATTTTTTTCCATGAATTTTATTGGTAAATATTAGATCTTTTACTTTTAGATGTGAATGCAGAAATGACGTGCAAAATACTCAACTAAATGCCAATCCTAGCCCCAAAATAGCTACAAATAACTATGAGGAATGTGAGGAAAAAACATTAACAGTAACGTCCGTGCAAAAACTTTTATGTAGTCACGAAACTAATACGTGTAAAGATAATTTAAACAGTGATGAGGTAAGCTTAACAAATGATAATAAAATGTACAACATTCCTGACTTTAGAAAATAACTAATAATTTATGTCGTAACTTCGGTTTCTGATGTTTACAGTTTCCAAAATTAATAGTTGCCATTGATGAATATTCGAATCAAATGTCAAATGTATCAAAGAAAACGGATATTGTTAAGAAATATGTCAACAGCAGTACCCAAACGAACTGGTATAACGTAATGGTTAGAATTTAACAGTGGTATTATTTTCGAAATTGTAATCTTAATTATGTTTTAACATTCGTTTTTTTGTTATAGTTGGAAGCAAGGCATCGTACGAACGGTCAGTATAGTTTCCATTTGCCTCCTCTTTATAAAATTAAAAATTACAACATTGATTAAAAGGAACTTGTCGTTTAATTTCTTTAGTAAAATTGCACTATCTTAGTTATTTACATATTAAAAATAACAGAACAAATGGAATCGTGACAACAGATTTCAATCTGAATTCGGAGTTATATATTTTCATTCCATCCTTGTAATGCTTGAGTTTACCTGTGAGAATGTTTAAAGGTTTCTGTCCCATATATTTCAGTTGCAAGTCTGTAAAGTAAAGTAAATTTTGCGCACTCATTGTCTGCATTACCTGGAATTAAAAAAATGTTTCATTGCACAGAAAAAAATATATTTGTAATTTTGTTTTTAAATACCAGTTACATATGGTATGAATAAGATAGAGACGATACGTGTGCAGTAATCCCAGCAACTGCTTCCGGGTTAATAACACCCAAGTCGGTTCCGTCCACTTCAGCCAGAAGAAGACCCAAGCGCGATACGTCACGTGCGTTCCAACTGTACGCCTTGCCAAGCGCCTGGAAATTTTTGTTAGCAATAATTACCATTAAATATTTCTATAATAACGTTTTAGTAACATAGCTTTAGACTTGGTTAAACTTCATTACTCACTGTTAGAAATTGTTTCTTACCTGACTTTTTGTCATCATAGCCAAATAAAACCGCCGCTGCAACGGATCACAAGCACGTATGTGATAAAATAGCTGTACAAATATGAATAAGTATGTAATGTTGTAAAATGTCAATAAGTAATATTGCTATTTTCTTCTGTCAGGCGTTGACAGTGGTAACCTTTTCATTATACCTGATGTGTAAGTTGCAGGTAGGTATTCTCTGGTACTCTTCGCATAAACGTCATTGGTACACCGCACAGTAAGTTATTCATCAAATTTAAATACTTCGGTTCAGACCAACGTCGGTTGAGTTTTATGTATTTACTTGCTACAACTCCAACCTGATAAAAGTTGTCACAACTTTAATATAATAACTAAGTAAATTGCATTTATGTACTTAACTTACTTGATGTCTGTTCAACTCTGCATGTGTTCCTACATAAGTCAAGATTCGATTATCGGTCAAGTTAAGTTTAGCGATCTCCTTCCCGTTAAGATATTTAAATAAAGGTCGGTATAGCTCCAGAGTCTGTATGGAGATCTCTTCGTTGGGTTTGTTTTCTTTGACCACGGTCCAGGTCGCTGCTAGTTTCTCTCGAGCTATGTTCATCATCGAGATGGTACGAGCCTTTACAAAAACATTATTTCAGAGTCAATACAAGCTTAATTATTATTGTATACAGCTAAAGCTGTTCTACTTGTGCTACAGTTTATAGGTTATGTTTTTGATGTCTAATCAACAACATCAAATAATGTAATTAGCAAAATATGGTAACAATTTGGTGAATAAAATTGAATTAGGACTATCAAAGGTTCAATTGAGGCGCTATTGCCAACCGTAAAGCAATTTCAATTTAATTTTATGGTTACTTCCTTCAGTCGTAGAGTAAAATATTTTATGTACCTCTCATCAGGTAATAACAAACCGAATGCAGAACATAGGTTGGCGGTAGTCTCAAAATGTCGTTAAGATCGCCTTCTAAGAAAATAGCGAACGCGTCGACGGCGGTCTGCATGAAGTCGTTGGTGACATTGAGACGACAACGGCCGCGGTGCATGAACTCTGGCATGGGGAGATGCACGCCACTCTTGTTCTGGTATAGCTCCGCACTGTTGGTTATACTAACTGCAGTTATTTGTGGTGGTCAGTAAGGCGTCCCTCGTTAAAGATTTATAACGTCTACACTTGTTTAGGTCCTATTTATTGATTAAAAGTTGGTACTACTGACTTTGTCCGCGTGGAATTAAAAAATAATAAGAAATATGGCCTATGTTACTCAGTGTTATAGCTATGTTATAGCTTTTTAACGATGAAGGATTTTTTGAAATCGGCCTGGTAGTTTTTGAGTTATTTCAATACATACACAAATCCAAATCTTTTCTCTTTATAATCTTAGTATAGATATAGATACCAGAGGAACTTGTGAAGCGTTGCCGAACTTTGCGAAGGTAATAATTGCTACAACTAATTGACACTTATTCGCAACTTACCGCAACACATGTCCAGTTGGATATTGGTAAGGAATTGTCTTGTTCTTGTAACCAATCAGACGTGTTTTGTTTTTGTCGGCTACATTAACATTTTTATTAATTAGTAAAAATTTACCTATTTATCATAATTTATTATTATAATGTACATACATTGAGTCGGAGGTGATGGCCCATATAGATATTTATTCAAAATATCTTGAAACATCACCATTGGATCTGTAATTCATGCACCATAAATAACGACTTCTGAGACTTCTGAGAGAATATAAACTTCATCAAAAATAATCTTCTGATAACTAATTTCACCACGTATTTAAAAAAAATGTCAAATATGAAATTCAATAAAATATGTACACTGCGAACAATTGGTTCGATGAGCGACTAGAAATGTTTAAACTATTATTATCTAGACTTTGTTATCAAAAAGTAACTAATATGCCGAAATTCAACATACTTCTTAGTATTATTATAAATGCAAAAGTTTAGGTCTATGGATGGATATTTGTGGGATTTTATAGCATAATCTGCTGAAATAATCTCGATGAAATTTGAAAGATGTAGAACATGTTCTGAAAGAACACATAGGCTACTTTTTGATTTTGTATTTTTAGTTTAAGTAATTCTAAGTGTACCATTTTCGACAGCATATGTGGCGGTGGTTGTCTCTTCGTATATTTTAGATTTCTTAGTAACATTGACATTAGGCTCTTGATATTCAAAGCAATCTGTGTCTGTAGAGATAATTTACATTTCCATTAACCGCTAATATAAAATAAAATACTCTGTCAGTCACGTATAAGTATGATAAGGAGTTGGTTTTCACTGACAATCCATACAAAAACTAAAGAAGATTACGAAATACTTCTTATTAGTCAGCAGTGAAAACCACGTCTTATATTATTAAAATTAAAAATTACAGCTAGAATTAGGATCCTTCTGTCCCGATATCGTGAACAAGATGTTTGTGTAACCTTTTGTACTTGAAACAAAGAATATTAACAACAAATATTGTAACATTATTAACGTATTGAAATGCAAGATGCATTATTAAATCAATTAGGTCATGGTTATGATATATTAAAAACGTTCTTATTTCATGAAAACATAATTTGATTTCGCATATAAAAACGATAATTAAGTAGGAATTTCATCGTCAGAAGTTAGTCCCAAAACATTTTCGATTTTGCATAACTAATTTACAGTCACTGACCTCTATAAATGGACAGGCTACAAGACGTAGGATTTTGTGCCTATTTGATTTTCACCATTTTGGCGGTGACTGTTATTAATAGCGGTGGTGAAAATTTGAACACAAAATAGAGATTTAATTAACTATCAATAGGATCAATAGGCCCTTCTAAGTTGGGACAAAACCCGTCATTTCATGATATTTATACAGATCAGTGTTAACAGCTGTAAAAAAATGTTTTACTGTTGTCAAAATTGTCATTGTCACTTTGGTATTTTGACTTTATTTTGACAAATCTATAGATACAACAAAACTGTATTTCTATCATTTGGTATAAAAATTCTCATGATCATCTTATAATTTTCAATGTATTCAATATCTAATGATAATAATGATTACTGTGCAGGATATTGCTATGATTCTGGCCTCAAAGGTGCAGAAAATGCATTTTATCCCTACGTAGGTCAACCTGTTGTATACTATAGTCATATTGTAAGTTTTCATTATTTTACCTATGAGTTATTTATTCTTTGTAAGTAAGTTATTTAAAGTTAAGCATTGAAACATTACAGGCTCCAGATCATTTGTCTCAAAGACATAAAGTTAACAAGAAAAATAACCCCAACTGTTTCGTGAAAGCCTTCCGCTGGTACACTCAGGTACAACATTTAATTTCATTATATTACTCGCTTTTTTTTAAATGCATACTAGTTTAAACGCTTTACACGACATTTAGGGGGAATTAGAAATAGAAAATCTTATTTTATTCACATAAAATCGTCATACCTAGTATGATATTTTCAGTGGAAATAATAAATATGTTTCGTAATGAATAAATTCTGTAGGAACTTCCATCTCCTCAATTGGTAGCACCATGCAACAATACGAATATAGGCGGGTTCGCAATGTGGTTGGACAAGAAGTACGAGGAATATATTCAAGAGGGTCAATGCGAAAACGACTGTCAACAATTCAGATCAAAACAATGTTCTTTCACAAAGAGTGATAAAACTATAAGCAGGTAAACATTTGTAGCTAAAATAAATAAATACAAAGCTTCACTAATAGAAAATAACTTTTCAGGTTAGAGTTTCCGTCGCGCAAAACAAGAAAATTTCCAAGATTGAAAAGGTTATATGTTTATTTTTTTTTACTATATATGTAGACTATAAAATTAATATGATTGTTTTCACAGTCCATGGAAAAAGAAGCGTCGATACATAAATGAAACTGAAAGAGATGCAGCTTGTAAAAAGTTAGTACATAAGCATTTAAAATAGAACTTTTCAGCCAGTTCCTTTATCTCTTTCTAATTGTTGCCTTTTATATTTCAGACAGAGTTTTGAATTTATACTAAGACCTCAAGATATGTCAAGACCTGCTTCTGAATGCTGCCAAAAGTAATTATATTTAAACGTTTTTGTATCATTTTTAATCATTTATGTTCACTGTTGTTTCTCTAATATAGGACATCGTTTTGCATTCGATCCGACACAACTTTTATCACTTCTAAATGTAGGATTCCGTCAAATATTAAAAAGAAATCTAAAAGTTTAATGTGTATTTCGAAAACGAAGGATGAATTTGAAAAAGATATAATGATTACAAATTATGACGTCAGTCAATGTTATGAAATACAAAAGAGTGAGGAGAGATGCAGAATAGTTCCTAATCAAACAATAATAAAAGCAAACACTGAGAACATTATAAGTGATTGTTATAATACAGATTTAAGAATTGGAATGAATTATAATAACATAGCAACTACCAAAAATCAAAGCAAATCAGTTAATTGTCAATGTGCAACAGACAAAATTCCATTTAAAACTGAAAATCACAATGTTTTCAAAAAAGTAAGCTATAGTAAATTACACAGAAATACGCATGAGGTTAACAAATGTAAAAATAAAACACAAAGAAGTCGAGAAGAAACAAGAATCGTTACAGAATGTTCTGGAGTTACGAATCAAAAATTGCGTTCAACTCCATCGAATAAATCAAACACTAAAGATGTTATCTGCGCCTGTGATCAGTCAGAATCAAAACATTTAACTTCATCTGACAAAGTAACTTCTAGAAGGAATCGTTACAAAACAGTCATCTGTGAATGTTCGATGTCTAACTTTTTAAAAGATGATGCTCGTTATCAAAATCAATCTAACGCGTCGGCGGTATTCAAAAAAGTAAGTCGACATGACTTAAATAGAAATGAATACGACGATAGAAAATATGTTGTTCAAAGACAAACGAGTAGAGAAATTACAAGAATTGTGACAAAATGTAGCGAACAATCGAATAGAATGGAAGATTGCAAGTCACGACCACATCCAAAGAATAGAGACGTTATTTGCGAGTGTTGCCTATATAGCACAGATCTTAACAATGCATTAAATCATTGTAAAGTAGCTACAAGAGCTAAAACCAAAACCATTATCTGTCAATGTTCTAAGAATTATCTTCAAAGAAATAACTATCGTCAACAAATTGAATGTAAAGAACAGCAAATATGCCAAAAGGTAAACTGTTTAAAATCACACATAACGTTGGCAATTTTACCTTCATTAGATACCTTCCATTTTGAACTCAAGTCGGTAGAGCAGATTTTATATTTTTAACAAGTAATGTACTCTAAACAGAAATGAATTGATACGACGAAAATTCGTCTAAGAAACAGGTACTAGACCTGCAATTGTTAACACCTCGATAATTTTTATTATTTTAGAATACAAAAGAAAACTTCCATCGAACATGTTGTCCCTGCCCAAAGTTACAACAAGCACAAATTGGACGCTCGTCAATAAACTGTAACAGTATCAAGACTTTTGAATACAAAAAACCGTTCAACTCCAAAGAATTGCCGGTACATGGTGTTCAAACGTCGGATCATTCAATAAGATTTGTAAGTACTTAATTTTTTTATTATAAATTGTACTATAAGTGTATATTACACAAATTAATGTTTTATGATTTTAGCAAGAAGATTCATTTCTCGTAAAGATTGTGTAAAAATTTTGATGTTGAAAAAACCAGACAATTTACCTAAATTTACTAATTTGATCCGCAATGAAAAGACAACCTAAATCTATATTTATTTGTACAAGAAATGGAGTATCGAATAAAAACAAGTAATTTTAAATAATATTTTTTTATTTACAAAAAACATGTAAAATATGTTTACATATCAGTAAAAACTCGTAAAAAAATAACACAATTAATTCGGTGGGCCATAAGAAGTGGCTGGTTGTGTGTGAGGCAAGAAACTTAAACTAATTGCACCTGTGCTTTGTTGTGGTTGAATGTTTGAAGTAAATGAAGGCAGGAGACTGGCTGACGGGCTAGATGCACCAGCAGAAGATGAAGAACTGGATGAATACGATGATGTATCAATAACTCTATTCGGTGCAGCCGAATTCTGCACAAACGATGTTATTTCTACGCTCGGTCTAGCATTCTCCAAAGACACACCGGATACTAGAGACAATAATCCTGCTTCTTTCGCAGACGTATGCTCATTGTCTTTGATTATGTTCTGCACACGGTTAACCACTGTTGAATCGAGGACTTCACTGTGCGTTTGGCTCTGGGCAGCTGTGTTGTATTGGTTCGAGTCGGCTTGATAACTGGAGAGGGACGAGGCGGGGAAGTTGCTAAAGGATTGGGACTGTAAAGGTAACTGGGATACAAATGATGACGATTGTGGTTGTTGATATGCATAACCTTGACCTGAGCTGAATTGCTGTGTTATTGGGGAATATTGCTGAGGTGCTACAAAAGCTGGGAGAGGTCGTATTGGCTCCACAGGAAATTGAGGAGCATACGTAAATGAGGGTTGTGCTTGAGGCTGACTGTAGGTAGGAATAGGTTGATGGTAAATTTGTTGGGGACGTGGATAGCTTATAGGGAGTGATGGTGTATTGTAAGATATTT